TCTCAAAACAAAGCACTACGCACCAGCAATAATGAAACATCACAAAGTGTTGCCATATTTATTTAAGGGGACCGGCTAACCTAAAATTTTCAATCTTGGCGTTTTCCACTTTTTGGGCTCATCTTAAAGCTCACTTTTCAACGCATTCAACGGTACCAGAATCATCCCTGTGCGTCGAAAAATGATTTCGTGGCAGCTTCCCAAAGAAGGGCAGTTTTTAGGCCCTTTAACAAATCCTATGGGAACTAATTAGAGGGCTGGACAAACTAAAAAGGAACGCCTGACGTAAAGCGGCCAATCATGGCATTATCCGGTGCATATACTCATGTTAAAGCTTACTTTCTGACGATTCTATTGGTAGCAAAATCATCTCTCTACGTCCATTTTTACGTTCACCACGCCCCATAGAACGGGGTGTGGTGGGGGGTGGCCTTAACAAATCCAATAGGCAAAAAATAGGAGGCGTGACTTCAAATACTGTGGGATGCAACCAAATCTTCCAGTGCTCATCATGACAGCGAGGCGGAATGTGTGCAGCCACTTGCTCTATACCTTCCTCATTCACTTTCAAGGCTTACTTTTGGTATGTTGGCTACGTTACGACTCTTTTACGTTCTTTTACGTGCTCACCGCCAGTTTTTTGACCGCCGTGAAAACCTACGATTAGTCTCACTGCAAACCTATCTCCTCCTACAGTTTTCAAGCTACAGCAATGAGACATATACCATTCGATTCGTAAAGACCAGGCCTATCGACTCTATCATCACTTTTTTGAATTTCAGTCTGGTTCGTTTTTTATATGGGGAAGAAGGGTGCTTTTAATTAAGAAAATGTTCATTTTTCCACACAGCTGGGAATGAGCTGTGTGTGTCTAATACTAAGCTGTGTCGGAATGAGTTTTTATGTGTCTAAAACCATCTCTTACCTTAATCATCTATTAATTTATTTACCACTTGAAATCAGCAAATACAAGTATACCTAAAGGATTCCTAATATATTCACAGACTTATTTAAAAGTCTCAAACCATAATTTTCTTTCTACTAATTTCTACACAAACAGTTTATCACTATTTGGTAGAGCAAGGTCAACTATCAACTTTGACACGTTTTTCTATGTTCTCACTGGGTGACTTGCACTGGCTCTCTTTGAATCTCAACATTTACCCGCCAGATGGCCCAGACCTAGTGTTTTGGCAATAGTATGGCGCACATCCGCAATACCATGGTCAGGAAGATGTGCCAGGTGCGCGGGAATTTATTTTGTCATTTCAACGACCTGCCCGGTGCGCCGTACTATGCTGGTAAAAAAATGCGCCGTGCGCCGTACTTTAGAAAGCTAAAATAGTTCTACTATTTTAATCGACAATATACGCGAGTATATTGACTATGCGAGTCAAACTGACAATAATAAAATGTAATACATGTCCGGGTTACTTCTGACTCTTCCGCTTGTCCGCCTTGTCGGAAACGGAACATACGGTAATCGTAAACTGCGGCTATTATACATACTAAATGTAAACAGACGGTGTTCAGTGTTGCCATATGACTTTGGAGAAAATTTCTTCTAAAATAAAGTTCTAAATTTCTCATTCACCAAATTTCCGTATCAAGAAAAATCATATATTATTGTAAGATAATTAAAGGCATACTGTACTGAGTAATGTGAGTATTACGTCTGTTCCTCCACAAACTGCTCGTGCGTGGCAGCGCGACGTAGAATTGATGGCCGGGATTGCGCAAACATGAGCGCAAAGAGAATCAATTTTCATTACATTGCACCAACTGTGCACAGCAATAGCTTAAAAAAAGTGAAAATGCGCGTGAAAATTCACCGAAAACATACATCATCCTGAGTGTGGCCGCAATAGTATGAAATCACTATTTCATATACCTATCCACTATGCAGAGGGTGGATGCAGCGTCGGCAATATATGAATTTTTAAGCCCAAAGCGTCGCCGGCCATTTTAAAGATGCGTCGCCGGGTAATTTTTAATGAAAAGCCATTTACGCTGAATAATGACGAACTATTTACAAGCCACAAACTAATTACAAGGTTGCATGCACGTGTTACCCCAAATAACTAATTTTACCCTAAAAACAGTCCGGTTGTACAGCAAGTGTCAACTGAACAAGTAATAAAGCAGTCTGACCGCTCTAATGCAACCAAAACTATGCAATCGAAAAAATGTTGTTTACATTTTTTGCGGGAACTCATCGCAACTGATTTCCGGACAAGCTTCGCTGCATCGTAATCCATCCAACTTACCGGAAACCTTACTTTTTTTCTAAATAGTTGGCTGAAGACTGAGAAATATATTAAATGCAAGAATTTCAATCTAAATGTGTCGGCAAGATCTTCTGAAGGCGAAAATTTTGCCGATAATGCGTCGCCGTAGGTCTTTAAATCTTCGTTCACTCTCTGCACAGTGGATACCTATTAATGCGTGGAACTTTCATCAATGAATGCGTGGAACTAAGACAAAGCTTAATATAAAGGAAAAAAGTTGAGAAGTGTCAGAATTACCTACCATGTTGGAATATACCGCGTTTACTCCATATCTCTTTGCTTCCCACAAGCCACAATCACATTGATTTTATACGGAACACTCATCACTAAGATTTTTCGAGAGAGTTCTGCTTCAATTCAACTACTATTATTTTACACATTCTACAGAACTAGAAGCAATTTTTCCCAGCTTAAGCAACTTGCCAAGTTAGTTTCAGTCTATCAGATAGATTAATTTGTTTTAATGAATTAATTTGACCTAAGGCCTACGAGTATTTTAATTTCCTCATCTAATCAAGATTTAAACAATTTTTTACTGTGATGATATGATAAAGCAGGTATTCATGTTTCATGATACTTTGCTGGTATAGGCCTACTTATACTCTTGATCTCAAAATTGAAATTTATGAAGTCTAAAAAAACTCTCTGCTTTGGCAGCTTTGCCAGTTGCCACTTAGGTAGGAACTAACGTGAGTACCTAATGTCCCATGTCATGATGTCAATGATGTCAACTCTGTTTTGGCGTAATTATCGCATATAACGGACAACCAAATTAACCAAATATAGCATAAATAGCTAATAAAATCTATATTTTTTCCGTCTCGCGCGTAGCCTACCGAAGATTATATCTTAATTACTGGGAGAGAGATGGTAAGCTGAATATGAAAACTTCCACATTATTTAGAACACTTTATGTCTTATATATGCTCAGTCAATAGTACTTTTCTCTAAGCTGGTAAAATAAAACTACTCGTTTTGAATTCGAACCTGCTTGCTAATTGCTACCACAGTACCACATCCACTTCAGCTGATACAGAACTTGATGATGATCCACGGCTCCACGCACATATAAAACTGAACTCATAAGGATTAACTCGACTAACATTCACAAAATTAATTGCACTGTTGCACAAACTGGTAATAAATCACTTAGAAAGATAAATTTGCATCACTCTACAAAATGCTTTACGCAAATACATCTAAACCGCATCTCCAAAAGCACCACGAAGACTAGCAAGTCGCAGGCTGAGGCCGATGCTCGAGCTGCTAGACATCGCGGATCGATACATAGTCAAATGAGAGTCTGGTTTCATCTTATATTGTAGGTTATTTACTTTACAATACTAGATTGCTTAATGAATTCTTTAAGAAATTGAAGATTCAATTTATACTTCTTCATTGTAATTGAAAAATGACATTACACACTTTCCTTCCATAATTTTCAATTAAACGATAAGTTTTTGAAGTTCCAGCTGATTCTATAATTTTAAATAGAGGCATATATAGAATTTTATAATTAAAATTTTGCAATTTGATTTAGATATCAGAAATAAAAATATTATGATCGGTTATTTAATGCTTCCAATCATTTGTGAGGTTGGGATTAGTTTGACAAGCGTAACGATTATGCCATATGGTAAAATGTTACACGACTCGAAAATAAATTTTAATTTCATTAAAGCACTAATTTAGTTAAGATACTATCGAATGAGAAAACCGCAGTAAACATACCAGTATTTTGTTGTTGTTGTTTCTTTTATTAGTTTATAATATCTGCTTTCACTTTTTTGGATGAAAACATAGCGCAATTCTCTGCAGCGTTAGGAGCTTTACTCAAGATGATTCACACTATCACTTTTTTGATCAAAATTCTTTTTAAAAATATAAAATACTCTGTTCATCGGTATTTGAAGGACTGTCGATAAAGTTCTATCTCAAATTTCTTCACAAACTTCGGAGAAACTTCTTCGCCAGAGGCAAAGTAATTCGACTGGTTTTTGAAAAAGCACTTTCATAAAGGGCTACATGTTCATTTATAAGAAAAAATAGCTCAATCGGTGATTTTTAAAATCTGTATTTAAGGTCGGTGAAAACATTTTATTCGTGCTTGAGAAGGAACATAAAAGTAATTAGTCTAGCGGCCATATGTTTACTAGCGCTTCAGCTAGTTAGCTATCTCGCACCGAAAATCAAGATGAACATCACCAACTGGTGGAAGATCTCAGTTATCGTCTTATCGATTATCGAAAGTTTCACAAATCAAAAATTGTTCCTCACCCAAAAGGTCTCAATTGTCCAGCCCGCTGAAGCTAGCTCAAAAGAAGCAGCGTTAGCATCTCAAAGAGGCGAAGTGACAAGGAGAGACAGGTGAAAAGCAACAGAAACTAAGACAATCGAACGAGAGATCGCTTACACGGGACGTCGGTCGCCCGCACGAGAGAGACAGAGGAGGAAAATGTAAGAGATCCCACCTACATAATAACTTAATGTAAGGAATCCTACATACATAATAACTTAACCCCACAACTGAGATCTGCAGTCAGACACCGCGAGCTCAAGGGTCGGGCGCTCTGGGCGCAATTCCCATAGGAGCGCGAAATCAACATAAAAGTAAAACACCGCAAAGGCAAGCCACGGTGCTTCGCAGCATTTCATGGGTATAAGTATATCTAATATTTCACGGCACCAAAAAGGCAATTAAAATTCATTTAGTCATCCTTGCATTAACATTTATTCTAAAACTTAAGCCTCATTAACAGTCCAACTTAGGATAATTTTAGCTAATACAAGCGCTTATTTTTATTGAAATATTTCAATTGCTTTCATTTGTCGTTCAACAACAAAACTCAACGCAACAGAAACTCGGGAAGAGAATATCAACACAGGACCTGCCTTACAACAAGTCGCGCGTTAAACAATATTCGCAAGCAGATTGCGCGCCTTAAACTTGAAGTTTCTGCGCCTCGAACTTGAAGTTTCTGCGCCTCAAACTTGAAGTTTCTGCACCTCAAACTTGAAGTTTCTGCGCCTCAAACTTGAAGTTTCTGCGCCTCAAACCTGAAGTTTGTGCGCCCCAGACTTGTGCGCCAAACTTGAGACGCAAGACCGTCAATTTATTGGTTGTTCCAAAACTGATCTCAATAAAACCGGACGTCAGCAAGCGACAAATGAATAACTATCGAGGTTGAAATAAGAATCTACACACATCAGTCAAGTCAAGTCAAGCATCCGTGAACAAGTCAAGCATATGTTTTCTCTCTCAAGACTCTTAAAAAAGTCAAGCCTCCGTGTTCTCTGTTCCTCCGTCATGACCGCCGTCAGGGACCTTGCGCTTGCGGGCGTTGCGGCCCTGGTTGCGCAGCTTCTTGGTCTGCTGGTCCTCCCCCAGCACCTTAGTGGCGTCACGCGTCGCAGGGCCCCAGAACTTCTCAGGGTTCAGCTGGAAACGCAGCAGCGACTTCTGCTGAGACTCGGGATTGGCGTCGGGATGTGCACGGAAATCAACCTGAAATCAGTGTGGAATTCTAGAGGGGTATTAAATTAACCAGCGCATATAGCATATTGGAAAGGCCATCATACAACCAATCAGTCTGAATAAACATCATGATCCCACAACCAATCACAGTCTGGATAGGATGGCATCATGATCCAACAACCAATCACAGTCTGGATAGGATGGCATCATGATCCCACAACCAATCACGGTCTGGATAGGATGGCATCATGATCCCACAACCAATCACGGTCTGGATAGGATGACATCTCGACCAATCACAGCAGGAAAGGGACGTGTATCCGTCCAAAAATGAATGAAACTTCACACACATTTCCTAGAATTCCAGCCTGTCTTAAATAATCCTAGACTTCGATGATTATCTGTTGTCATAATTTGATCTTGAAATAACATTTTCTTACTTTTATTTCTACCAGTTTTATCCGTAGGCGCAAGTATAATCAGTTTAAAAAGAATCTAAGTAAGGAGTATAGTTTTGAAATAGATAAATGGGTACCAACAAATTTTTAATTACGGGGGGGGGGAGGCCAAAAACCGGACTGATTCTTTAAAAATGTCTTTATTTATGCGAAATCTTCTTTTATATTTTGCTGGAGTGAACTCAAAGTCACTCGGGACAGTTCTGCAAGTTCGTCAATACTTCAACGTTAATCTTCAGGGATTAGGTCACTAATTTTCTCAGCATTTTCTTCAGTGCAGTAAGTGGAATGACGACCTGAGCGAAGTTGGTCGTCAATTGACATTTCCCCTTTCATAAAACGAGAAAAAAACTCAAAAACTCCCCATAGCTTTATCCTTATGGGCTGTTTGTAGCATTTTCTTGCCAGTTTTTCGCAGAAACAAGCTAAATTTTAAGGCAGCGCATTGCACACGAAAATCAGACACCATCAAAAAAACGACGAGCGCGCAGAAGTATCACAAAAAATTGTGATAATTTAACATGGCCTTCTAGTGCAGCAGTGCGTGGCTACCATATGCACATGCTGGGAGAATGCGGTACTACCGAAACTTCGCCCCACACACAGACAGTCCCGATTTTTCTGGATCGCCCCTCGTAATTAATCAATCAAAAAATTTGTACTAAAACCAAAACGCTTTACTGAATAAGAAAACATTTACCAATCAACAGACGTCAGAAAAATTAAGTGAAATCTTGTACCCATCCATGCATATTTTCAAGTTACATTAAATGTCAGAAGTACGTATCAAACTAAACCTTAAAGGCAATACAGAACATTCAAACAAAGATTAACAACTGGCTTGTCAAGCATAGAAAGAATTGAATAGAAATTTTAACACGATGCTCTAAAGAGCACATCATAGAATAACTGACCTCTTAGCCAAGCATTTTCTTGAAAATAATTAGCACACTCGAGACTAAATTATTAATCACAGAACACAGTCCGCACTCTTTGATTTGCGTGACGTTCAATACAGCGAAGTGAGGCACCAATTGAAACATAGAGAGTACGAAGTATAAACGTCAGGGTTCGTACCGGTATTTAGGAAAAAATTCAATGAATTTTCCATGACTCTCCATGACTATCAATATAATTTTCCAAGACTCGTATACGGTAGGTTTAGCATGACTGGAAGACTAACTGCGCATATTCTATCATCTCCTACAGTTTGTAAATAGCAAACGTGTAAATGCATAGCTCTTCATGGCTTTTCAAAGGTGGCATGGCTCTTCAAAGCTGCTTCCCCCATATTTGACACATCAAACTGATAAAAGTCTTTCGAGCACAATGTAGTACAAGATATCGCCATACCTTCATGCTTTGCATGACGAGCAAGCCAGTTACGATAAGCTTCTATCCTTAACCACATGTCATAAAATTTACACTTTCCAGGCATGGTGATGTAGAAATTGCACGCTGAAGATGGAACGCTGCCACTGCACATCAAAAAGTTATCCAATGCAACTTAGCTCGGTGACCGAGCTGAGTGCGAGCTCACGCGATTGGTTTCTCCAATCCTAACGCAAGAAACAAGATACTGTGGCAGTCTCTTATTTCATGCGTGCCAATCAGAATGCAGGAAACAAGAGACTGCACAAACAGTAAACACACGCAGCACAGAAAAAACACTTCCTTTTTTCTTCTTTTATTTGCAAATTCCACGACTTTCCACAACCTGAAATGAAATCCAATGACTATCCAGGCCTGGAAAATGAAAAATCAAATTCCATGACTTTCCAGGTTTTCTCGGTATTAAGGAAACAAGAGAGGCTGACCTCGGTGGTGGAAGGTCTGTTGAGCAGGAAGTGTCCGGAGCGTCGGTGTTATAAACGTGCTCGGTATTGAGAGAAAAATATAACTCTGTACTCACTGCAGTTAGTGACAGAAAGCGCATTTTCTCGTCGACGAAAACGTGGAGTCACGGACGGACAGACGGGCGGGCATGACGAGCACAATAGCGCCTTTTTTCCATAAATGAGAAAATGCGCCAACAAGAGAGGCTGACCTCGGTGGTGGAGGGCCTGTTGAGCAGGAAGTGTCCCGGAGCGTCGGCGTTGGCCCGCATGCGGTGCGCGGGCTCGGTGCGCTCATGAGCCCTCACCACGTCCCACACAACCTCCGCCGGGGCGTCTGTTTTGATGCTCGTCTTGTGGCAGTGCGATGACGACACTCTGGATCATGATACACGAGGCTTTAAATGTGTTTCATTTGAGAGACTAGGGTGTAAATTATACAAGCAAATATATAGACATTTGGGGCTACGGATGAAAAAATATATAATCGAGGTACAAAGGGGGCGCATTAGTACAGGGTTTGCGTCTCATTCGTAAGCCCGTCGGAGCGATTATCAATTACCTCTATACACGTGTCATGCATTAAGAAAGAAAGAATAAATAATGTTAGCAACTAAACAAATGTCCTAAAATATGCAAATTCCCATAAATCTGTAAAAAGAGTTTACTTTCAATCCAAAACAGGGAGAGTAGAGCGCTTTTCACATGAAAATTTCATTAGAAGTGGACTAAAGGTTATTAGATAAGAGACACACATGCTTGATGTTCATGATTTACTACTATAAAATATAAGCTAAAGGTTTATTTACCTGTAACCTGCGTTTAGAAGAGCTGATTTGAAACGCTGTAGTTTACCAGGCATCGTCCCGACCACCTTGAATGCGGTAAACACATATCATCAAATGAGTTAAATGAGCAGTAAGGAAAAAATGACTTGAATAATTAATATATGTTAGTCATTTTCTACTTGCAATAAATTTGAATTCCTGTAACGTACAATACAACATAAGAACAACAACGTAACAATATTTCAGGAAGCAATTTTGTAAATCTGCACGAATACTGAAAAAAAAGTTAGTTAAACCTCTAGCAGAGTGAAAGATATGCTACTGATTAGAAGGTTTCCCTCAACATTCTTTTGACCGGTGAAAGAAATATTTTATATTAATAGCAACATTGATAACGGAACGGAGGCTTGCGGCGAATTCTCGAGGCTCGTTTTTTGGCACAAAGATTTGCCTATTTTCCCAAAACATAAAATGTAAGTGAAGGTATGAAGGCGCAGGTGATGACAATACTACCAACCTGACAGAGCTTGTCGTGTACGTAGTAGAAGGGAACGTCTGGCAGCTCCTCTTTCATCATCTGCAACATGCCTGCAACAACCTTTACCTTCATCTATACATTTATTTTCCATCCGAGAATAATATTGAGTCAATGATAACCACAACAAGTTATATCAAAATGAATTATGTGAACAAAACATATCAAGATTAAATTCAAATGATGACAGATCCATTCAAAATAAATTTAACCAAACCTAGAAAATTTCGGTATAGTCACGGGACTATTTTCCTGCTGTATTATTTTTACACAGAAGACAAGCCATGAGGTAACGTACCCATGACGCGGCGCTCCGTGCCCAGAGGTTTGGTGAAGAAAGTGCCGCTGCCTTCCTCCAGCTGAGCAAGCATCGCGTCTAGGAAGTCGTGGTTGTGCAGAGCGCCCAACCACACCGGACCTGCCATCTACAACGGCACCGCGACATCAATTCAAACCCGCTCAGCTAAGCTGACTTTTTAACGGTACGTAAATTCAGTCAGGAGTGTTGAGCCTCAACTGATGAAACATTTCGTCAGTTATGGAAAAATCGGGTTCCAAAGACCGGATCCCTTGTGGAATCAAGTCACGAAAAGTACAGGAATCGGCAACAGGCCATGGGCCTATTTCTTCAGTGCCGACATTTCTTTTCAATTCTAATAATTTTCAACGCGAATTTTGAAAATTTCACTCGGGGGAACCAACATTGAATTTAGAATTTATTAAGATAACAATAGGGAATATAATTTCTGTATTACCAGTTACCACTGAGATGTCAGATTATTCTGAGTCAAGTGATTTTGATAATCAAAATACTGAATACAATCTGCTATGGCAGTGAAGAAATAAAAATTCTCACCAGCTTAGTTGTCAATGAAAAGGAGGTGCTTCCATTTATTCTGTAACACACGCTTTAAAGAAGATACTTATTATATGTTGTTTGATGAGAGCTTCTAAATCAAGTCCCAATATAAAAAAACGCCACAGATGAGGTTATCTAGAATGTCAATTCTTTTGCACTAAAACGGATGCTGACAAGTCAATAAATAACACAAAGCTAGAATATTATTATTATTATTATTTAGATTTTAGAATATTATTATATTTTTACATGTAATCACGTACAAAGACGTGATAATATCTCTGTGATAACATCCTCAAAATAACGACAACGTCACTCAACAACGGCCGAATTGCAGATCATAACCTCATGCTTGCTGTTGCAGTGTTGACACGCATGTATGAAGGGTGGGACGCGAGATAGCTTGTGCTTGACGCTCCTGCCGTCCACGACGATGTGTCCCATGGGGGTCGTGGTGATCGTGTCACATCCCACACATCGGTACATCATACCAACCTACACCGGAGTATAATAATAATGTGATAGTGAGCTTGTGATAGTGCACTAATCAAGAATAAAACCTTACAACTAACTCGTATATTATGGATAACACTTTTGGAGCGCTATGTTGTGATTGTCATCCTGGTAGTGGCGACTAGGGAGGGGGGGTGATAGGTCAGTTTTTCCGGGCACTCGATGCCACTGGTAGTTCCACGACCATCACTGGCTCGCTGACCCGCCAGAACCATTTTATTGCATTACACAACACCCTGGACAAGCCAGGTACTCATTTATCAACCAGAGTTGGATGAATGGCTGAGATGACCATGAGCTGAGCTTCCGGGTAGAACTTGTCCTCAGTGGGACTCGAACCCAGGAGCTGGGTGCGAGAGACAGAGTCTCTCACCACTTCACCGTCCAAGACAAGTGTTATTTTGGATAACACTCGGACAGAGAGTAGTCCAATAGTACAATAATAACTATAACCTCGATTAAGAGTACGAGTAACACAACACTAGTGATGTGATTATTGGAAATGCGGGGTGAAGGCCCAGCCGGGGATATGGAGTCCATTCGTCAAATTCTCAACAACCTCAATGGTGGAATTATAACTTTCACTTGCATGTGAGAAAGCCGCCGTAAATCAAGTAATTTAATAATGTACCTTTTAAACATACTTCAGATTCGTATATTTACACGTGCTGTAATTTGTGAATATAATCGATTTTTAACTTTCTTCGTTACATTAACTTGGTAGCATCAATTGAAGTATCATGAAAGCATACGAACTTAGTCAACTCTTTTGAACTAAAACGGATGCTGACAAGTCAATAAATAACACAGAGCTAGAATATTATTAATTTTTTACATGTTATCACGTACAAGACGTGATAATATTTCTGTGATAACATTCTCAATATAACAACAACTTCACTCAAATTGGTCACTTAGCTCATCTAGCAAGATATTCTGAAGAGATTTGTGCGGATGATTGTCGTAACGAGTGGTTAGAGTAACATTCTTCGTAATACAAACCTTCGTATAGGATTCCTTTACTTTGAGAGCGCTGGTCCGCACTCTGACCGCCATGCGGATGTAGAAGTCGGCGCTCATGCTCACTAGCGGCTCAATATAACGGCCGTAGCGGTTGGCGTGCGACTCCAGAGACTGCAGGGCAATGCGCAATGCAATTTCATGGCACGAACGAATCTTGAGTGACGTAGAGCCGTACTTGGAATAGCAAGTGTCAGGTGAGTTGCCGCACAGCACAGCCATGTCTGTGCACGTCACCAGCAGTAGCCCGCCCTCTGACACAGCCTGCACAGCTCCGTCTAAAAACAAGTGAGGGGAGCCGTACGGGTCCAAGTCAATGACGTCAAACTGCTCGCCGGAGCCATGACCTCGGTTAATGTAGAGTAGAAGACTGCAACATGAGATCATTAAAATTAACAGAAGAAGAACATGTTACAATTTTCTCACAATAGTTGAAAACGATCTTTGCTTTTGAAAAACCCACTTAGTTGATCTTTCGTGACCGCTGTGTCAGGTGTAAAAATCAAGCGCCACCTGACGGATTAAATAGTTCTACTTGAGGACAGGGAATTGTTGACTAAGTGCGTGTGGAATAAGTAAGACCCTTCTCTCTAAAGAACTTTCTCTTGACGTGAGGTGGATACATGAGAGTTATATTAGTAGTATAAGGTTAAGACGTCAACCGTTAGGTCGGAGTAGCTCTAACGCGAGTTACATGGCGGCGTACTTGTCAGTTACTGGAGGCCTTGCTAAGGTTCCCAGCCTTTTTATAGAATCACGGCTTCCGCTCACTATACTGAAGTCTTGATCGCGTGATGTGTCACGACTGTCACGTGATGGTGTCCATGCTGACTCAGGTCTAGTACTTTTCCATCAATCTCAACCACCTCTAGTGAATATTACGTCTCAATTGCAGATGATCTAATCTTAGAATGTAATTATAATGAATAAAATGAAACGCCTGATTGACAACAGACAGCTGGAAATTACCTATTCTCTATAAAAATACATCCACAATACATAGAAATCTAAATACACCTAGTCATAAATAATTTCAGTGCATTGTGAAAATTTTTTCAAGCATGTTACAAAAATTGTGAATCTTGTACTTTTCAATGAAAATTATTCAATTTTTTAAAAAGAGAACTTAAATTTATACCAATATCCATTTAAAATTTATATAGTGTAACACAGCAGAATAATCATTAGTTATAATTGTGACTAGCATGAAACCTCATGAATATCTTGACATGCATTTCATAAACATGATATAAGTTCGCAGCCTGAGCATACCTAGCATCGCATTGACTGGGTGAGACGAGATGCTCCACGTGGTTGTATTCAATATTTTTTCTCATGCACTCCACGGCCTGTAGCAATAATAGGAATTTAAACATATCTGCATGTACCAAAACTTTTATTTACAAACAAACTCCTGATGAAAAATTAATGCTTTTTATCAAAAGCAGTTTATATGTATTATCAGTTCTTATTTATTATTTACCAAGAAAAATTACATCTACCACATTACCACTCGACTATTAATACAGCTGGATTGACTCTACCCTCATTTTTTCTTACCTTGACTCCTGTAATAGATACTTTTTCACATTTTTAATCCATGTATGTAAAATTATATTGGAAACAACCACGTTAGAGTTTCATGCACAGAATATAAAAGGAAAATTGAGAAAGCCATAGGAACTGACCTGCTTTGACAAATCATTGGCAATGATTTCTTTGATGCCAGGGACTTCCTTTGCATATCTGATGGATCGCAGACCAGAAGCAGCCAGAGCCTCTAAAATTCGTAGTCCATTTGCATTAACAACTCCAAGTTCTGGTACCCCACTCAGATTTCCCGGCTCTTCAATGCCTTGACTATTATTACTACTTTCAAATGTTGTACAGTTTATACCAACTTCTTCTTGAGTAGATTTGTCATTCAAATTTGAATTGGAACAATCAGTCAAATCGGACACATTCTTGGGTTGAGCAACATTGCAAGAACCCAGAACAGAGCCAGGTATTGCATTTGGTTTCAAGTCATGTAATTTGTCTTCTGAATTTTCATTGCTTGAAGTGGTAAACTTGGTTTCAAACTTGTTCTTCTTGTGTGAATTTCTTCTTTCTAACATGTATTGTGATGCAAATAATCTCAGGATGGTGATACTGGAAAAAAAATTAGTAAATAGTTAGTTCAGTGAATTGGCTTTTGAAGTGCTTAGATAAACATTCTTTAATACTCATAAATATTAATCCAGCAACAAGCTGTGAATAAATAAGAACAATGATCAATTTAGCTAAGAAGGGTTCCTAGCTGAGAAAAAACTGGGGCTCAATAACTACACCAGAAATGAAATTAATCAGAAAACTAGGATACCTCATATCTCTGTTGAACTCTTGCACTGGATTGTAGAAGACTTTGTTGCTTGATGGAAACAAAACCTTCCCCTGGCCCTCAGAGACTTCTGATAAGCTGACCTGAAAAAAGCCATGTAAATCAATGCTTGAGATAATGATCACTATTGAATCTTCTTCATGAGTAAGGATATAAAATTCAAAATTATATGAATATGGGATGAATTTAAAATTATATTATCCTGGCTATATTTGGTATACTCATCACTCAGAGCAAGAAAATTTTAATACCATATATCAAATGTATCTATTTTTTTTCCCAGACATTTTTATATAACTATTAGGGCTGATGGGAATACTCACCCCATTAACAATGACTTCTTTAATCCGGCCATTTTCCTTCTTTTGGCACACTGCATTGGTAAGATTTTTATCATCGCTTTTGGCAGAAGCCAACATGTTCCCGGCATCCATTAGCTTGGCTGCTTTGTCTTTGAATCTTTTTAGACTTCTTAGGGAAGCCAAAAGCTTGGGGCAGCTTCCTTTCATTAATTTCTTGCCTAAATCATCAATCAAGTTAAAATTTTACCTTATAACATGTAAGTAGAGACAATTTTTATAAAAATTAGAGCTTCAATATGAAAAATTCATTTTTTCAGTTTGTATGAATTATATTACTCGGAACTTCAATTAACATTCTGGGAGAAAGATTTAGAGGTGAATGATTTTTTTAGATAACCTTAATTTAATTTCTATCATTACTCAACTAGTAGCTCAATAAATTAGTAGGCAGGTATGTATTACAATGGGGACAATCTTGTACAGGTAAAAAATCTTCTAAGTTATCTTCTTCTCCAAGATCAACAAGATGCATGCCACATTGTTAGGGGCACTCCTAACATTCGAGCTCTAAAGGTCCGGTAAGACCAATATAGTATTGGCTTTTATCTCGTGAAAACTTGATGAAACAACCTAACAGCAGGACAAATGAAACACAATACCAATCCAGCTAAATGAACTCAAAACAAGGAGACAAGTAGTAATTACATTAAAACACACATGAGAATGAGGGGTTAGTGGAGTTAAGGGATGGTACATACACAGGATGAGAATGGATGAATAATAAGTAAAGAAACTGTAAGAACCCTAACCAACTCTAAACTATCATGGTGATCAGTAAAACGTTGTAAAAGGAACAGTGACAATAAAACTTAATACTAAAAGCTCGCACGCATGAAAATCTTCAAGGAAGGCTATCTTCAGAGCTAGAGGATTACACGCTTCTGTCTTGACTTGAGCCTCCAGCGTCCGGGGTGGAGCTTCAGGTTATGCGCACTCTTGAGACTGGGTCAACCAGCTCCTAGTCCTACCCAGACTGGGCGACAGATCAATGGTTTGCCTGTGACTCCCGAGTAAAACTGGAGTACACCTAATAAGCAATGAGCACTGAGGCACGGAATATCACTGGATAGCACTGAATTACACTGGTCAGCACTGGCTGGCACTGAGTTGCACTGGATCACTGAATAATACAGGTTGTACTGTGTAGTCCTGAGTATCACTGACTAGCACTGGGCGGCTGAATAGCACTGGGTAATACAAGGTGGCACTGGGTAATACTGGGTATCACTGGGCGGTACTGAGTAACAGTGGATAGCACGGAGTAGCACTGGAGTAACACCTGTCTCTTATACACATCTAGATGTGTATAAGAGACAGATCCAAACCTTGCNAAAGGTACTGGAGAGCATGCCACATCAGAACAAAGGTACTGGAGAGCATGCCACATCAGAAGAAAGGTACTGGAGAGCATGCCACATCAGAAGAAAGGTACTGGAGAGTATGCCACATCAGAACAAAGGTACTGGAGACATGCCACATCAGAAGAAAGTTACTGGAGAGCATGCCACATCAGAACAAAGGTACTGGAGAGCATGCCACATCAGAACAAAGGTACTGGAGAGCATGCTGCATCAGAAGGAAGGTACTGGAGAGCATGCCACATGAGAGCAAAGGTACTGGAGAGAATGCTGCATCAGAAGAAAGGTACTGGAGAGTATGCCAAATGAGAACAAAGGTACTGGAGAGCATGCCACATCAGATCAAAGGTACTGGAGAGCATGCCACATCATAACAAAGATACTGGAGAGCATGCCACATCAGAACAAATGTACTGGAGAGCATGCCACATCAGAACAAAGGCATTGGTTTTGGAGAGCATGCCACACCAGAACAAAGGTACTGGAGAGCATGCCACATCAGAACAAATGTACTGGAGAGCATGCCACACAGGGTTGGCAATGATTAAATCAAAATGATTAAATCAGGTGATTAAATCACTTGATTTTTTTTATAAAAAATCATGATTTTTTTTTATTTTTTTCATATATTTAAGAATATTGAGTGGCAGTCTTTAATTTATATTGAGGTATTGTTATTCATGGTTTAGTATAAATGTACTATGAATGACAAATTGGTATATAAACTTGTTGCCTTTAGTGTGTATTAGCCTAATTAGGTTCCAATAAATGGAATGTTTTTGGTACAGAGGCACAAAGAGTGCAATACATTGTACGTAGCTAGCAGCTTAGCTAATTCTTATAAGGCTGTAAGTAGTCTTAACTATTTGACTATTTGTTATATATTTATTACAATATATAATTTAAATGTGTTAGCTAGCTTATACAGGGTGGGGCAGAACGGATTAAACAGTTTTGAGGCAAAATAAAAGAGTAATGGAGGTACATAAAGAAGAAAGTTTATTTTCCTCATGATTAGCATAACATACCATTTAAAATACTTATGTTTTGAAAACATCAGGAAGATGGGGTTTGTTAGCTGCATCACACTGTTGGAGTTGTTCTCGGAAGTTTCCTACAGCACGTTCACACATATGGCAAGGTATGGCCATAACCTCTGCTGCAATAATCTGTTCCCTTAGCTGTGGTAGGGTGTGAGGGCGACTTCTGAACACCCTTTCTTTTTGCTTGCGTTTTCTCATAAGGATTCGTCTGTCTCTCGGAATGCTGCAGACTTTAGGCCCTGTTTTTCTTGGTGTATGACGCACACATACCTGTGCTAGTTTCTCACACAGTTTTGTGTAGATTTCCTCAGCATTCATCTCATGAAACTCCGCTCTCCAATCGATTTTGTCAATTTCATTCCAAATTGCCCCCCAATCAGTTCTTCGATTGTGAAAGTTAAGTCCTGCCAGTCCCTCTTGGGGTATAGACCTGGGCAGGGTTTCAATTCCAGTTGTCGTTTCCACCATCACTAAGCGATGGTCAGACAGTGAGGTATCTTCAACCCGAACGTCAACTACCATTCTTTCATTATTAGTAAAGAAGAGATCGAGAATATTGTGTTCTCTTGTCGGCGACCGTACCTGCTGACTGAGCAAGTGTTCCGCAGCAAACTTCACAAGTTGGGCTTTTTGACTTGTGTCGCGGTCATCGACCTCCAAGCCGTCAGGGCTTGTCCAACGGATTCGTGGGAGATTGAAGTCCCCACCAATTATCATGCTGGGGGCTGGGTCACCCAGTTCAGCCACCCTGGTCTCTATTTCCTTAAGGGTTTTTTGAAATTTTCCGGCGGACAAGCAGGCAGTCTATAGACTATAGCTACGCACAAGTCATATTTTTTTATGTGAAGTAGCACGTATTCAACAAAGCCGTCAGAGTTTCCAGATTTCGATATCAATTCTACAGTGCTTCTTGCAAGGGAGTTCCTAAGGTAGACAATTACTCCACCCTTCTTTCCGGTCACTCGGTAGTGTTGGAGTCCTTCCATTGTAATTTCTGCATCGAGGATATCTTTTCTTAGGTGCGACTCCGTTAGTGCAATCATAAAGATCCCACCCTTGTCGGCCATCTCACGCAGCACGCCAATCTTGTGACGCGCTCTCAGTGGGAAAAGCCCCTCGATGTTGGCTAGCAGAATGCCAGACTCTTCCCTTATTGGTGCGCTTACCAGCATCTCCACCACTCTGCCTGGCACCCCTGGCCCAGCAGCTCCTGCATCTGGTGTTGAATCATTTCCAGCTGATGCCTCATTTCTAAAAAAGCACCGTAGGTAATCTCTGGCCCCCCACGTGCGACCATGTCCCATACGCTTGGTCATCCCTCCTGGAGTAGCTAGGTCATCCCTCCTTCTCCAAGAACTACCCTCCTCACCGCTCCTTCTACCAGTGTTTTCCGCAACCCTATCACTGCCCTGTCTTCCCTGTGATGGTGGGGACTGTGAGGGTGAGGGAGTGGGCTGGCGTCCAGCAGGGGCCCTTTGTTGTGGGGGTGAATCATTGTTGCCTCCTCTCCTGCCGGCTTCCTCCATTCGCTTCCGCGATTTTATGTGAAGAAACCTGCAGTTTTCATATGTGCAATCTTCTTTCTGCATAACACTCCAGCACAACTTAGAGTGATGGAACGCGCAGTCCCTTCCTTTTTTGCACCCTCGTGGGTGCCCGCTTCCGTAGGTACAGAATTTAGGGCACAGTCTAGGATGTGAAAATCTGCAGCCATCGCCCTTTTTTCCGTGTTCACATTTCTTTTGCAGGTACTTCCAGCAAACACCTTTCTTTACTGGTGGTCTACTTGAGGGTGCATCTGCAACTTGGGTGAATGGTAAGGGTGGTGGTGTTGAGAGGGTTGGAAAACTAGAAGGGATGATGGCAATCCATCTTCTAAGTCGCCATTCTCATGGGTTTGTGCGGTAGCCTGAGTGTATTGGCCTAATTGAGAAGAAGGAATGTTGGTAGGATCAGAAATTGGGGCACTGGAAGGGCTGAGGGCAAGGGTAAAGCTGGAAGTAGGTGTTGGGTTAGGAGTGAGTGAAGAGGTGGGGAAGGGCGTATGGGAAAAGGCGAGGGTACCGTTAGCTGCAAGGGAAGATGAGGTGGCACCGGGGGAGAGGTGGCCAGCACTACCGGGACTGTGAACCATCCGTTTTGGTTTTTCTTTCATGGCTGCTATAAGTTTTTTTTTTGCTTTCCTTGAAATTTTTGTAAAAATTCATTACGCAGTTCGTACATTCATAAGAAACTCTGGTTTGATCGAGCCTAATGATACAATATAGCGGCAAATCACTACATTTAAAATGTATGAAAAACTGGCATTTGCTGCATTGCAGTACAAGAGTCGCATCGCAAAGCTCCTTGCAAATAATGCAGGAACTATCCATAGGGGGTTGCATAACAAAACATTTAGCCATCTTACCTTGTCTTTCTTATTATACTATTACACTGAATATTTTACACTATTACACTGAATATATTACACTATTATGCTGGATATCCTGCCTTACACTGAGCTCCGATTCTGACCGCAAGAACCCTGGATTTGGAATGCTCGGCTGCCAAACCGCGCGGTAGGCTGGGCCGGATATAAGCAATAAATACCTTTGCCTCAAGCACACTTGCTTCTTACTTGCTCCTCTCTTACTACAGCTCAGCACTCTTATTTGTATCAGTGATTTAATGTAAGACACTTGTCACTTAATGTAAACACTTCACTGCTTCACGTATTGAATGCTATAATTTCATTCTACCAATCTGTTATTATTATTTTTTTAGAGTCTTTTTCATATATAAAAGAGTAATTTTCTGAACACTTTCACACTGAACAAATTATACTCTTTTTTTTACTGACTTCCCTTATTTTCTGCCAAAACACTGGATTACATCTCTCAGGCCCAGTCTG